GTAAGCACATGACTATTGAATCTAGAATTGTTTAATTTGAACAGACTGGAAACATATGTTGAAAAGTCCATTTCTTTACAATTCCACATTGATCAGAAAGCATCACACAAGATTGCACACAAGTTTTCATACAGTCTTTATCGGTATTTCAATGGCCTAGTGATGTTGCCATTTCTCAGCAACACTTTTTACCATGTTGTACAATATCATCAAAATGGAATTTAAAGTAGCCACTGCTTCTCTATGTGCATGAATATCCATTTTGTGCATCAAGATTTAGGACATCACCATTAGTCCCGCACAGTTAGCTTAATTAAAAACAATTCTGGATTAATGTAACAGCTTACAGGCAGGAAAGGCCGCCTAAAGCTTTTAAGCAAATTACAGTTCCCTCCCTTTCATTAATTTGCAATTCAAGCATTATCTGCAACATAAATTTGATTTAATCACTGAAAGAGAACTAAAGGCTTTTTCTATAGTTTCTCTTCAAAAATGCACACAAGGTCATAAAGAGAGTTGGGAATACTAAAAGGCCTCATTTGTGCATTATAAAATCTCATTAACTGCATTATGGCACAGGTATAAATTTATATATCACCATAATGCTGTCTTAAACATCAGTGACCATGTTCATGTGGTATTTTCTGAAATTAAACTAGGATACAAGCATAGACATGTTCTCCTTCCACCAAATCCTATTCTTCAATTTCCTCATGTAACCCTACATGTTGATTTTGAAATATTGTTTATCATATGGAATTCTGAATGCACTTTTCAGGATAGACAAACAATTCACAAAAAGATGTGCTCTAATCTAAGCATCTAAATCTGAGGTGGAAAAACTATGATTATTTAGCTACTGTCAGGGTTACAGTTCAGCAACTATAATTAATAGCAAAGAATGTGGGAGTTGCAATCCACCAGCATTTGAAAAGCTGTAGGTCTCCCCCCTCCACAATCGTAACCATACAGTAAAAAGTAATATTTTATCTTTATTTTTTATAATAAAAGTATTATTTATCTAATTGACATATTATTGATTTTTACTGTATAGTTCCGGAAGAAATCCTCTATTTATCTGCAATTAATGGTTCTTACCTACCTAGTAACTATCACACTAAAAATCTTTCCTATGCAGCTTTAGAAATGAATAATGTTAGTTATCTAAGGGTTAAATTCATTCTTATGCAATTCCAAATTTTATTTCAAAATAGCTTAAGCAAGCAATATACACTGTCAATTAAGTTCCTTGAAAATAAGATTTTCCTAATGATGTCTCTTGTTAACTACAGCAGATATTACACAATACCAGTAGAATTGCTGATAGTCAATACATAGACAAGGAAATTCTTCCTAAGAGTTCCTCTACCATGAGATAAAACCATTTCTGATACTCCAGGTAAGTAGAGGGTAAATCTTAGCACAGAAAAGCAGAATTTGTTATCAAAACAACAAGGTGAAAAACATGCCCTAAGCTTAAGTCATGTAGAAGCTATGTAAAAATCTCTCAGAAAGCCATCTCCCTAATTTTCAGGAGTGTAAGAAGGCCTGGAGATAAATCAGTCAGATTTGAAAGATTCTATATTATAGCCAATTTTAATTTAAAAATAACTTAAGTTTTCTGGTGGAATTGATTTCTTGGCCTGGTATATATTCTGGGATTGATATAATGTTTCTGAGTAGCAATTCTCACAATTGAGTTCATTTATTGGCAATTGTGAACTCGCATCCAATATAGAATAACTCAAACTTAAATCCTAGAGGTTATGTGTTTTGACATTTAAAAAATAGCAATAGCACTTAGACTTATATTTACAGCCCTCTCTAAGCAGTTTACAGAGTCAACATATTGCCCACAACAATCTGAGTCCTCATTTTACCCACCTCGGAAGGCTGAGTCAACCTTGAGCCTGGTGAGATTTGATCTGCTGGCAGCCGATGGCAGCCGTTGTAGCAGAAGTAGCCTGCAGTACTGCTCTCTAACCACTGTGCCACCGCATACGAACTGTTGAATGCACTGATTAATGCAAAAATAACTGTGACAAAAAGCAGCAGTGACAGTGATAGTTTTATACCCCTCTATCTCCTCTCAAAAGTGTTTCTTTAAAGTAGCATTATGAGTCTGCTTTCTTTCATATTCTAAATTTTAAAAATAACATGGGATTTGCATAATCTTTGAAAAACCTACTATGTGTTCCTACTTTTAATACTTTTAGTTTAGGTAAGATTCAGAGTCTTTAAGCATAGCTTAAAGAGACAATCCCAAGAACATGCAAAAAATAGATAACATTGTTAAGCACTACCACTTTCAGTTTTGAATATACACCATACAAATCAGAACTCATGCAGTAATTGTGTCATCTTTTTGCATCTCCTTAAAAGTTTTGTTTAGAGTTTAAAGCAGTTTTGCTTTAAGGAGTTTCAAGAATCAGATGCTAAAGCATCTTTTCTGACTCTGAATCTGAATCAAACTACAGCCCGAGCATGCAGCAGATACCGTTTTAATAGAATTAACAGAATTATCAAAAATCCGGTCACTGTTGTTTTAAATTATTGTCATGTATATTTAAGGAAAATTGTTCAATAGCATGTCTCTTACACACAGCAGTACTTATTTCTAGTCATTAAGCAAGCACTCTTGTGTAATTATAGAGTATGAGCAATCATTTTTCAGAGATTATGGTATCTGTCCATCCGTTTTTCTTACTCAATTACCATCCTGGCAAGGTACCAGCATTGTTGAAATGCAATTTCTGAAATGAAGTCTTGCAAAACTATAACCACAGCCAAGTAGAAAGAGAAAATTCTCAATGGCACATATATTAGAAATGTTATTTTAAGACAGAAATATTGTAATTTGTATCTGTGTGCGCACACTTTTGTTTGTTTGTTTGTTTATTGGATTTATATGCCGCCCTTCTCCCAAAGGGCGCTTAATTCTTAATACAGAAAAAATGATTCATTAAAAATTCTTATATGAAAAGCAGTTGAAGAGTGTTAATGAACCCTTTTGAGACTTTTGACAGAGTGATTAGAAAAAGAAGGGTCAATATGACGTTTTCCAATGAACTTCTGCAATGTCCCCATGGCAACAAAAGAAGCACAACCTTTATTTGCCCCGTAGACCTGGTGACTGAGGCCTCAGCGTAGCCCTTAACATTTGAAAATGACACAAATTTACAATTCACCATTCTTTGTGATCTTTGGTAGTAGCCCAATATCAACACTATTTCATCTCTTTAAAAATCAAAAGAAGAATCTACTTTACCTATCACGTTAAATCATGGTTACCTTAGCATAAATTACTATAAAGCCCCAATTGGTGAGGTTCATAGATTATGCCAAGCCACAAAATATGGTATACAAATCACAAGGCTAAATTTATCCCCTATACTAAATCCAAACCATCAAATCACTGAGCAATAGGCAAAGCTATCTACAAAGCATAAAAGCAGTCTGAATGAGTATACAGGTGGTCTTCAACTTACGATCACAATTTCTGTTGCTAAACAAGACAATTGTTATTGACTTTTGCCCCATTTTATAACCTTTAAGACCTTTCCTGCCACAGCTGTTGAGTGGATTACTGCAGTTGTTAAGTTAGAAACATGGCTTCCCCATTGACTTTGTTTGTCAGAAGGTTACAGAGTTACATAACTCTGGGTCACTGTAACTGTCATAAATATGAGTCAGTTTCCAAGAATTTAATTTTGATCATGTGACTATGGAGATGCTGCTACGGTTGTGTGAAAAAATGGTCATGTCAATTTTTTCAGTACCGTTGTAACTTTGGTTACTAATTGAACAGTTGTAGATTGATGTCCTACCTTAGACATGAAAGCAATTGGGTGACCTTTAGCCATTCACTCTCTCTCTCAAGCCCAACTCACCTCACAGGGTTGTCGTGGGGAAAATAGGACAAACAAGACATGTATATGTGTATGTGTATGTGTATGTGTATGTGTATGTGTATGTGTATGTGTATGTNCTGAACTGCTGATCTAGCAGTAGCCTGCAGTGCTGCATTTAACCACTGCGCCACCTTGGCTCTCTCCATAACCATTGATCCAATCAAAGCTCCCCTATGAAAAGAAACTAAACTGGCCACTGGCATGATTATACTTAAGTCTCCTAATCACCATTGTGAAATTAGGTTTCTTCCTGGCTTTATGGAGAGTTCTGGATGATGAAACCAGTCAAGAGATTAAATGAGTGCAAATGGTGTAAGGTTCAGCACATGCTGATACAATACACATTAGTTCACAAATTGCTGACTCTGCAGCAAAAGTTAGAAGGTGAGCTGCTATTTTTTAATGTCCATTGTATCTTCAAGTAGCACAGTTTTTAAAACAGTTAATAACTACTACCATTTGCTCTGGAAACTTTTACTTTAAAGCCCTTGGAGGCATGCTGTGACAAATTTGTTGGGCATTTTGAGGACACAATTCAAGGGGTAATTCTCTGTTTTCCAGGTCTGAAAATATGGACAAAAATATGGGTTCAAGTTACCTAAGAAATTGTCTTCACTTCTTCGTTCACTAAGATTACCACGAAAGGATTTGTGCCAAAGCTGACAGTGTGTCATCATTCATGTTTTTCATAGGCAACCATTTTCTCTAGTACCGGTACTCTGAAATCTTCCTAACCCATCAAAACCAGAGAAGTGTCTATACCTTTGGTTGCACTGAGGATTTATCACTTCTCTCAAGTCATCTCTGTAAGAATGTTGGATTAATAGACTTGATTTGTTTTCCTTCACCCTGGTGCTTTTATTAATAATATTGCTTTAATTTATGGTTACATTTTAACCATTTTCTGATTTATGGGGAACATATAAATATAAACAAAAAATCATGATAGCTATTTAAAGGTTGTGTCTTCTCCTCATAGCTTGGGAGGAAAACCATTAATTCATAGTTGGGGACAAGTGACTATCATTCTGGTCAAGGTCTGGAGCAACTCTCAACAAAAAGCATGTGAATTCCTACAACATCAGATACCTTGTTCCCGAAGAACATTGGCAAATTGGCAGACTTTGCTCAGCAATTCACTGTATGAAATTTTCATGGAATCTCCTCGCTCATTTCCTTCCCTATAAGAAAAGAAAAAAAGATATATAAATGCAAAAAAAAAATGTATTTCAAATGTAAATTTCCCATCAGAGGTGGTATTCTACCGGTTCGGATCAGTTATCCCAAACCGGTAGCGGAAATTGTGGGTGGTCCCACCCATCCACCCCAGTTGTATGGCATCCCATTTAGGCACTTTTTTTAGCCAAAGTGCATGAGCAGAAGGCTGAGCACATGCACGGATGTGGCACGTGTGAGCGAAGCGAGCACGCACATACGCGTTCACATTTGCAAACCAGTAGGGAAGGTAAGTGAATACCACCCCTGCTTCACATGTTTTACTATAACTAAAAACTAATAAAATAGCTTAAAGCAGCTTGGTGTTCTTTACATGAAAATAGAGAGTGAATAGTTTATGCCACCTTGGAAAAACCACAGCTTTGAAATACAGTTAAAAATACACAAAGCAAATAGAAGAAGACCTCAAAATAATAGACAATCAGGGAACCATACGTTCCAATTTCCAAAGTATGCATTTGCACTGACATAGTAAGATTTGCTACTGCTTTCTGACTGGTTGCAATTTATAAAAATGTTAATTCACCGATTTCAAATGGCAAATTCCTAAATACGAGAAGTCAAATGTTTAGGAAAAATGTCTTTGTTCCCCCCCCCCTTTCTTTTCATGTTCAAAGTTTGTGCAAAGAATGTGTTGGTGCTGATGAAATATATGCCTGGATAAAGGACTAGGAATATTTTAACATTACACCAATTTGAATGTGAATAAATGCAATCCTATACATATTTACCTGGAATTCTGTGTAAAGCAAAGAAGGAACTTCCAAACAGCCATGCACAGAATTTGCAAGCACATTTCTTAAGGAAACAAACAGTCCTATAGGAATGTGTGAAAATATTATTTTGCTATTTTTGTGTAAAGGTATCTGCCATTAATTTGGGAATAGGAAGCTGGCACCTTAAAACATATGGGAAAGGCATAATTCTGCCCTATATAGTAGCAGATGTTAGCTTAGCCTTCCAAGCAATTTCTGCCATTGTTCTGCGGAAAAATAGCACTGCTTTCTAAATGAATGGCAGAAAATATTTATCAGCCAAGCACAATTCCTTTGTTCCAGATTGCCCACATGCAGTATGAACCTTTGCGATTTTTATAAATTTATATGAAAGATGGCATTAAGCTTTCTACCCATGCTCAATCTAAATATCAAGTGCTCCTACAATAACAAATATAGCCATAGTTACTTGAGCAAAGAATACAGACTCTTATGAAGTGCTGAAGAGAGGGATCAGCAATCAGTCAGCAATTAAAACTGGCATATATTTCTGCTTTGCAGATTCAGCTAAGATCATGCCAATTGGCAAAACATGGGAATGCAGCCAGATTGTTAATGCATAAATTTAGGGCTTTTAGACTATTCCATTAATATAACTAGTAATCATAGGTATCGCTCATTAACTCTTGACCAAGTCAAACCCCTTCATCAACTGCTAATGTCCTGTCTGCATTAAGTCTTTATCTTCCTATAATTCTTAACAGAAATAAGAAATAGCTGGAGGAGGCAGAGCAGTCATAGAGCATTGGTCAGACAAATGTATTTTTCAATACCATACAGTGAAATTTCCTTTCACAGCTTACCCATCTCCAAATCAAATTTATTACTAAATATATATATGTATGTGTAGAGAATGACACTATCATCCTAATTGCAATTGATAATTTTCTTTACATAATAGCAACATATGTTCCATGGTTTCAATGCTTAAATGTATCTCCACAATTACTTAAAATCGACACAAATTCCATCCTAATTGAGAACTTGCTCAAAATGATCGTCCACAGCAATTTTTTTCTCAAGAGATTTATAACTGCATAACATTTAAAAAGTTCACCTTCATTGGAAAGCACTAAAATCATTTGGCATAATATGGGCATTGTAGAATGTAATTGAGAAAGGTATTCATTCTTTCTTGCCCACGGATAAAGACTTGGCACATGATATAAATTATTAAGGATACTGAAGGGTATTTCAAAATTACAATGATACAAACTGTTCTCTTGAGCTGAGCACAAATTAAAATTATAGTCTTTCAAATATGGAATTCACAAAATGAATCTGAACAAGAAAAAACAAAACTCAAATCTAAATGATGTGTTTTATTCACTTAAACAGAACCATTGATTTAGTTTTATAAGGTGACCAAAACTAGTCAACTTGTAAAATGTAAAATTAGCTTAGCTATCATTTATTAGAAGCCAACAACCTTTCATCTGTTGTGAAAGGTGATGGCACAATAATCAGAACATGATGTCACAAATCTGACTCTTTACTAAATAGTAATTGGAGGTTACTACATTCTCTGTTGGCAAGATGAACAAAGGATAACGGTTGCAATATCATATTAGCAAGTTCATTTACGTATTTACTTAAAGCTAAGGTGACAGATAGTAAAATACAAGACAAGCTCACAAATGAAGACAGACCATGAAAAATTGATCCCACCGTTCTTCAACAAATAGCAAAAGTAATCCGAAGACCAAAAAAATCAAATAAAAGCAGTTGTGGTACTAGCAGCCACTGCAAGCTCAGTTAAGGAAGAAGCAATTATGCCTTTCACAAATGTATTATCTGTAAATTTTCTTTCCCACAAAACTATATTAACAAGATATAGATAGCACATTATAGTATCAATATATAGAGAGTATGAATATATATAGAGAGAGTGGGGAGGTTGCTTATAAATATAATAGGATGGGTTTACAAAAACATATACTATTTCTGATGTTTGGATCTATAAATACCAAAACACATTAATCAACCATTCAGAGTCCACTGCTCTATAGCTGGGAGGCTAATAAATTAATAACAATTTGAAATTCTAGACATGATTAAATGTGAACGGCAATATCTTTGCTTTTAAAAAGTTACAACAATTATGTTAGAGATGTTGAAAGGGTATTTGACTCAAAAATCTTTTGCAAGAAGTTTTCAACATATCCCATGAACAAGACTGGTTACTTTCTGTACTAAAGTAATCTTTAGAACTGCAATCAGGCATTATCAGAACTGGAACTTGTACACCTGTTCTTATTTATTCACAACTGTTACAAACTAAAAGGTGAATTGGAAAAAACCAATGTTCAAGGCAGCATATTATGTGTGCATTACACAATAATCACAAGGACTATGTAGAATTCAAAAATGAGTTGACTCATTAAACTTAATGTGGTTGTTAAAGCAGCTGAGTATTTTTCTCAATCTTGTGCCAAACTCTGGGGGGGAGGGGAGTCAGGCTTCTTTTATAAACAACAGAGATGTGCTACATTTATCTATCTTCCAAAGCACTTCTTCCAGATCATTTTGAAGCATACACATGCCCTTAGTCCTGGACAAAAAAGTGTCAAAAAATTCTGCAATGATCTCCATGTCCCTCACCTTAAAAACTGCATATTTTCTTCAATGCGAAGTCAACATTATTTTTTAATTAAGTAGGGGTCGTATTGTAGATTTTTATTAAAAAGAAGTACAAAACCTGCAGACGTATATAGGCTCCACCTTTTGAATGAAAAGATGTAATGGAGTTTAGAAACAATGAAAAGAGAAGGCAAAGAAGGAAGTAGAAAAACAAGGACCCAAGAAAAACCAGTTTTAATTGAACAAGCAAATAAAGAAGAAATTGTTTGGCTTTAGGTTTTAGTGTCAGCCCAATTACTACAATTGCTTTCATTTTTTTTCATCTGCAAGCTAAAATTAAATATTGAAGGCAAATTAATGCAGGTTCTTGATACAGTAGTTATTTGAACAAGTTAATTAGAGGAAAGATAACCTGAAGCCTATCCCAGGGCTACAAGCAACCACAAATCTTTTTATGGGACCTTAAGGACCCATTTATTCTAATTGTTGAAAACAATATTTTAAGAAAAACACTTAGAAATGGGAGATTGATCAAAGGTAAAGTGATCAGATTTTAAAATTGGTAAAGCAGGACACCATTGATGGGGGGGGTGTTCTTGATTAAAAATTTGGTCTATGGAAGTTGATAGGACATTCTAGGCCCAACAAGTTAAAATACTCACTATCTAGTTCAATACTCAAGGAGAAAAGTGGGAGGGGGAATCAAAGGGGTGCCCAACACATAGCCCAACGTGCCCAGGTCCTTCTTCTTGCCTGGCCTCATCTTTGCCCTCTGGCTGATGCCCACCATCGGCTGCACCGCAGCCAATTCGCCGCGGGTGGGCTGGAAGGCTTCGGGCGGCTCCTGGGCAGCGGGCGTCTGGGCGGGAAAAGCCGGCGAGGGGGTGGCGGTGGCATCTTCGGCGGCGGAGCAGACGCGCAGTAGCGCCAGCAGCAGCAGCGCCAGCAGCCGGGCAGCCTCCATCGGGCGGCGAGGCGAGCTGCGTGCAAATCCGCTCAGCCAGCCCGCCCCACAACTCCTGTTAGTGCTCGGCAGCGGGCAGCCGCCGTGCAGCCTCCAGCCCCACAGGCCGCCCTCCTGGCACGCAGCCACTATAGACAAAGATAGACCTGGAAAAATGAGTGAAAATGTTTGCAAGAGGAAGCCACATGGTGGAGCCAAAAAAAAGGGCGGGGCACCCTTTCTACAAAAAT